AGGTTCTGCTACTGGTTCCGTGAGGAATGAATGTTTCTTTCCTATAATGGGCTTTAAGTTTTTACCTTGTTCAGTACAATGCTTGTAGTTTTGTGCCATGTGGACAATGGTTCTGTGGATGAGGGAACCAGACATGTTGACACAGATCCAACATGGCCGCCGATCCTGGATGAGTTAGATGGAGGATGTCGAGCAGTATCTGTCGTAATTGAGTGGGTATTACGATCCTTTCGTCGATTAGTAGACAGTCTTCGCGGACGTGGAGCCGATTGCGAATGTTGTGCCAATAAGGTCTATAGGAGGTTTTAATGGCATCTCAATCCCTCTTTTTAACGAAGTTAATGAGTGGGCGGAGGCTTCGGTCTTTCTTCGTTGCCGCGGTAATGAATCGCACTCCCAGCACCCGTTGGAGCTTCTTCCTGAAAAGTGTGGTGTCTTCCTCGGCTTCCGTTGTATTTCTGGCCTCTTTTATTGTTGCCACCAGTCCCTCTGTGATCAAATCATGACTGGCCTCGAGTGACGTATTTTGCGTCATCGTTGGGGGTGCCTCGTTATGTCTCCTCTCCTCTTGTATTGTCTTTGTTGGGTCCGCGCGGCTCACCCAGACTTCATCGTCCGATTTTTGTTTCCCAGACAGTTTTGTTTTTGTAGATTTAGAGATGAACTCGGTCTCTGTCTGGCAGGAATTTGTTCCTAATTGGCCCGTGGTTTTCTTTAGCTCCGTTTGGTTAATTTGTTTCTCTTCCGTATTGTCGTTGAAAATGATTTTAGAGAAGTTTGACTTCTTTCGTGTTTCTTCTGCTTTCTTTATAACTCTCGTGCATCCTGGACTTCGGTGGCACTCTCGGCTTTTGACTTTTCCATAAAGATAATATTTGAAATGTTCAATTGCCCAAACTACTCCTAATAGTTCTAGTTCGTTTACGGAATATTTTTCCTCGAGGGAGTTTTAAAAACGTGATGCGTACGCTACGGACTTAGGTGAGCTGGTTTTCTTTCCTTTTGCGGGTGGCCTTTTGTGCCATCGTGGATCGGAAAGACTTTCCTCCCTGTCCGAAGATCCTTGCCACTTTGTAGCTGACTCGGTGTTTTGTTCTGTGGGATCAGAGCTCTTTAGTTTCGTGGGGATGAAACCTCATTTGAATCCACGCGTTTCTGATCGTCTGTTCATTTTATGGCAATGAATGAAATTTACTGTTTTTCGGACTGGTTGTATTGTTTTCAATTTTGAATGACAGAGAGCTGACTGTTTGTTGGCGATTTTCAAGTGAGAGTGAATTTGATTTTGAGTTCGCAATTGACCGTGTGTGGAATGTTTGGAATGTTCATTTGTTAATTGAGTGTTTGAATTAGCATCTAATAGTCCTTTGTTTTTCGCGCGTTTTTTGATCAGTTCACACGGTGCTTTGTTTTGATTGGCTAGATTATTTAGAATGACGTTGTCGATCAATTCGAGGTCGTCTATAAATGCATTAATTGATGCTACAACAAATTCCTCATCATACTCACTGGGGGGCCAATCCAACTGGATTTCGGGACTTGTAGTCTATTAGTCCGATTTTGTTTCCAGCAAGATGTTTGATATCAAAGTGAAATGGTATTAGTCTATCAATCCACCGTGTGAGCCAACTCTGAATTGTTTTTGATCTTTCACTTGCGTTTGAAGCGTTGATTAAAGCTTGGTGATCTGTAATGACGGTAAAAAGTTTTCCATAAAGATAATATTTGAAATGTTCAATTGCCCAAACTACTCCTAATAGCTCTAGTTCGTTTACGGAATATTTTTCCTCGAGGGGGTTTAAAAAACGTGATGCGTACGCTACGGTTATCCAACCCTCTGGTGCATTTTGTTCTAATGCTGCCCCTAACCCTGTGTTAGGTGCGTCGCAAACTATGCGAGTTTCTAGTTGTTGGTCAAAGTGTTTGTTTTGAGTAATTTCAGTTACTAAATTTAGTATGTTTTTGAAAGCTGTGTTGTGTTCTGTTGACCAGTCAAGTGGTTTTTTCTTTTCTGTGTTTTCAGCAATGGACGGAGGGCTGCAGCTGTTTGTGCTAAATTTGGAATATATCGGGTGAGGTGGTGTATTGACCCCACAAAACTGTTTAATTGTTTAAATGTTTTTGGTGCTGAAAGTTTCTCTATTGCTTCAGTTTTCTTAATCAGCGGTGTTGTGCCTTCGCTATTAATGTTGAATCCTAACCACTCAATCTGTTTACAAGCTAACTTACTTTTCTCAAGTGAAATTGCAAGGTTTTCTTCATCTAATCTGTCCAAAACTGCTTTCAGCTTCTGTTGATGTAACTCTGTGGATCCCTTCGTAACTATCAGTATATCATCTAAGTATGCAAATGTGTTCGTGCAGTTTGTCAAAGTTAGATCAATGGCTTTTTTGAAATTCGGCTGGCATATCCGTGAGGCTGTAAAATCCCGTTTGGAATTGATACGTTTTTGTCGCATTGCCACCGGTTAAACTGAAATTGCAATGTTCGCGCGTTCTCTGATCCAGTGGGATTTGAGAGTATGCGTACCGAAGGTCAAGTTTTGAAAACAACGTCTGTTTTGTTTTGTCTGATTTGACCTCTTGTGCGATGTTATTCAGTAATAAATCGATATTAGGCATTTGATACTTGTTTTTATGGATAAATTTGTTGATTTTCTTTGAATCCAACGCAAGTTTAACTGTTTGATCCTTTTTCACTGTGATGACAATTGGACTGATGAACTGTCTATCTGAGCACTTGTCCAGTTTGATAATGTGTTTCTGATCAATTAGTTTGTTTAATTCTCCCTCCACATGTTCTTGGAGCTGTATCGGAATGCGTCGACCTTTTTGTTGAATCGGAACGAATTCTTTAATGAACTGTGTTTTCATTGTGTGATTTTTGGATTTTCCGATACGTACCCACAGTTGTGCGAAATTGTCTTTGACCCATTGTTTAATTGCTGGATCAAACTCTTCTTGTTCTCGTATAGCATGTACGTTTTGTTTTTGTTGTTCTTGGATTAGTTTGATAATGTTTGCTTTTTTAATATCTACCACGATGAATGGAGCTGAATGAATTTTGCAACCTCCTGACTCGATAGTAATAATCAATCTTCCCATTGGAACAATCGTTTCACCATTATTGCACGCAACATTTTGTGCGGTGTCTCCTATTGGAATAGTTTCGAACAGTGCCTTTTTGTCGTGTTGTTGAATGCGCCGTGCGGTTTTTTCGTTTAGGAACGACATCGGGCTTCCCGAATCGGCAATAGCAAACAATTGTTCTGAATTAGTTTTTAATTTGTCTATGTGTCCGTTTAGATCTTCCTCAGCTAGTGTTCTTGTGTTTTTAATCTCGAATGATTCCGCGATTGCCATCACCGAAAAGTTATCTATTTGAAACTCGTCCCAACCGTTGCTGGAAGAAAATTCAGCAAATGCCACTGGATCGTTTTCCGTTTCAAAGCTTTCAGTTTCTAGCTCCTCCTGTTGATCTATTTGTGTATCTTCTAGATAGTGTACCTGTGTGGAACGGCATACTTTAGCGAAGTGGCCCCGTTTGGCGAATTTGGCACAAATTTTATCTTTTGCGGGGCAGGACTGTAAATGGTTTTGATTATACTGATTTCCGCATTTATAATACTGCTTTTGACTACCTGTGTTGGTAGCTCTTTGTTGACCGGTTCTTGCTTTGGCGTAATCTGATGTCCTCGGAACGGGTTGGTTTTCATAGTACGACTATGTTCAATTCCTTTTTCTCTACGTATTGCATATGCGTCTTGTGGGCTCCTGGTTTGTGCCAATAATTCTTCGGCTATTTTGTCATTGTTCATGTGTGCTGTGAAAATGTACCTAACCCATTCATCCTCTCGATCCACGCAATCAGCTCGTGACGCTAGTTCCACAAGGTCCGAATCGAATTCTTCTAAACGCTCTGTTTTCTTTTGTTTTCGAAAGATGAAATTGTATCTTTCAAAAGCGATTACTCTAGGTGTTACAAAAATATCCTCGAGGGTTGTGATCAATTCTTGCGTGGAGACATTATGTAATTCCAAATTGGGTCTTTTCTGTTGTATTTGTCTTTGTCCTTCCGCTCCTAAACATAAGAATATATAGCTGCGCATTTTTGCGTCGGCTTCGTCCCATCTGAATGAATTTCAGAGTGCTCCTTTTTCCCGTGCTTTTATAACGTGGTTTTCCCAACCAACTCTTTTCTCTTGGTTTCTGACATCTCTGTTCTTCCTTTGTGCCTCGGTTTCTCCCGTGATTTCAACCTCGTACACTGGCTCTGATGGTTCGACCAATGTTGGTCGTGCTCTCAATAGATTTCGTACTTCCATCCCATCCTTCGCGAATATAGCCATTTCCATTATTGCTGCCCACTTAGACCACTCTAGTGGTGGTTCGACAGATGCCTTGTCCCAGAACGGGTTTATGTTGAGTGGGTTTTTGGAGTATCCTGCTGGCTGCGCCATGTCATACCTCAACGTATGATCTTCTAATTTCAGAATCTAAATGGATCGACAAACAGATATTCTAATGCGAAGCGAGATAAAACAACTAGTTGGAACCAATGTTAATTCATGGTCTGACCGTTCATTCGGTCGTTATTTGAGAGAAGGTCTCTCAAGTTCGGTTGACCAGCCATATGTATAGTTATATCATACATCAACATAAAACATATGTATAAATATATATAACTAAGTTTTGTCGGTCCATGCCGGATGACAATTACTATGCACGCATTGAAATTATGTTGCACGCATTAAATGAGCTTCGATTGAGACCTGGGTCTTTATTTTTGGTATGTTTTATCATCTGATATATTCAGATTCACCCTCAGGCAACGAAAAACGTATTATTATTGACTTTAAATTTTCGACTGGGAGGTGGAGACTTTCGCTGCTTCTCGAGTCCATCAGTTTATTTATATTAGACTTTTAAAAGTAATTTGACAAGTATTTTTAAAGCGATTGATTTCTGAAGGATTGATCAATTCTGTTTGCTCATCTTTAGCCAATCAGCAGCTACTGGCCATTGGAGACAGCTACGGGACACTGCACGTGTTGGAAGTGCCCTGGGTGTTGAGACAGGGGGCTGCGAAGGAGCCACAGGCGGTCATGTCCTACTTGGAGAGGGAGAAGGAGCGACTGGAGTACATGGAGACGAGGAGGGAGGGCAGACTGCTCGAGAAGAGAGAGCGGGACGCCAAAATACAGCAGCAGAAACAGGCAAGTCGCCCTCCCCAAAAGCAGGTCCAAACCCCCCATCACACACTCACCACCACCACCACCACCACCACAACAACCATTTTACTAACCATACCGCTCATCTTTCAAGCGGCTGATGTCATTTTTCTTAATTCTGCAACTCGGTACGGATATGCTGCTTTAAGGTTCTCTGATAAGTGACCAAATTGTATAATGTAGAGTTTTTTCAAATGATGCTGCAATGTTTTTGAGTATTTACTCCGTTCTTATATATCACAAATTGAACATCGATGTGAATTGGAAAGCGTTTACCGGAAAGTTTTTAAAGTGAATATTCCGTGATACAACATGGTTTCTATTGGTTTTTTCTTTTGTATACCAGAAAAAACGGATGGAAACTATCTTGCATCAAAGAGGTTTTTCACTTTCGATTATATTGTTTGTACGGTTGGTTGGAGGGAGGGGGTGTTGAATGTGGCCATGTTTCATGTGCGGTTTGTTGTAGTTGGACGCAGCCGCGTCTAAAGTGACTGACGAGGAAGAAAGAGCCAGCGCAGAGAGAGAAGTGCAGCAATACTTTACCCTGGAGAAGAAACTGAGGATAGAACTGGGCCTAGAGGAAGAAGTGCTCTAGAATGCATTAATGCAAAGCCCCGCATTGTTCGTTCTTGAAAGACGAACTTCATTCAACTCCCATTCTTACCTGCTGCTGTCATTGTCTACATATCAAATTCTAGTGATGATTTTGTTTTGTTGGTAATAAACCATTTTTGAAAGTGTTTTTCAGTAAAAAATGACAGCTCGTAACAGAAAAGAAACAGTTTAATCCATTAGTGTCAGGACAAAAATACCGCATCATGAATTCCATGACAAAGTTTCCCATGCAAAAAGATACGATATTAGCGAGAACGGCGATTTTGCAAAATTTAAAAATTAGGAAAATTAGCTGCAACTATCAAAACACGGAAATTAAGAAACTCTCTGGCTCATTAGTAGCGAAAAGGTGATGCAACGAATTGTTTAACGATTTTCCATTAAAGCCGAGAATTTTTTCAATTATATCCAAGTTGTGACCATTTTTCACGCCCGAGTAAGTAGTTTGCCGTGATTATTTCTGAAACCTCGATGTTTGCTATCAAATTTAAAACTTTCCGTGAACTGTCATCTACATCGCCTATCGGAGTTTTATTGTGGGAAGAAAAAGCAATATTTGGTGTTACGCATAACAGATCTAATTTGAATCATAATATTGTCATTGGTTGATGGCATTTCGATTTGCGCGCAAAAAAACTTCAAAATTCCTGGCGAATACTGAGAAGCTATATCTTTATTTAAAGAGAGCTCAGTCTGAATAGTGTTACGGGCTCTTTTCCTTAAGTGTTCAAGGTCTTCAATAGCATTTGAGCAATTGTGTGATATTGGTGTTTTGGTTTTTAAATACACTTTTGCAATTTTTGCCAACCCGTACCTTACAAAAACTTAGTAACCAGATCTGAGCATCGTAAAATCTTGCCTATTTCAGATCTTGTCCAGACATGGTGCATGTTTCGTTTGGAGAATCTTATAAAAAACTTGAAGATAAACCTTTGGAAATTCGGTCGGATTGTGTCAAGAAACTTGAAAATTGGACAAGATCTTCATGAAAATTCCAGTTATCTTGAAGAAAAAACAATGAGTCTAAAAGATTTTTCGAGTTCTTTTTCGGTTGTTGCGAGCGCTTAAAAAAATTCAAAAAGATTAAAAATTTGAGGAATCAAAGCTTAAGAGCTATCAAATAAAGCTTTGACCATGAAATAACTAAAAACCATTAGTACAAAACTCACTTTTTGACTTGAAATTTGATGGTTGTTACTTTCAACTTAAGCAAAGACAATAAATTGAGACATTAACAAAGCAATTAAATCTAAAAAAAAAATTATCGACCAAGAATTACTAAAAGTCATCAGCAAGACGTTCAATCAAGTTAAAATTCTTGGATATCTTGAAGTTTTATCCAAGAACCATGCTTGGTGAGCTACAGCCAGCATACAGGTTTCGGTAGATGTAGTTTTGATTTTTGCTCCAATTTAAGCCTCATAAAATAGAAAAGAATAGGATTAGATTTCTTTCGAGAAGAGGCTAAATGTTTCAGCTTTGCCTAATAATGAGCAATAAATTTTGGTCTCTATATTCTATCTTCGATCAGTCATTGCATTTTTGCTAGTCTTTTCTCTTTTCTTGAAAATTGCTAAAAATTTTCAAATAAGCTAAATATAGCAGTTTTCTTACTTCGAACAACTGCCAGCAACTGTAATTAAATTAAAAGCTTGAAGTCCAATGTGTGCAAAGGTTAAGGCTTCAAATAACTGCCTTTAACAAAATTAACGAGATGTTCTTTAATTGAAGTTACCAATTACTGCATAGATGAAGGTTGCACAACAAAAAGTGTAGTAGGTGCAACTAGCAAAATAAATTGGAGGAAAATTCATTGAAAAACTGAACAAAAAGTTATAGTTCTGAGTTTGATTAACAAATAACGGCTTGCTGAGCAAAACATTGGCAAAATTATTGTAAGAGTAGCTGAACAATAAAATTTTAACTTTCGTCTTATTGAATTGTGACGTCTTAAAGCATCGGTAATGATGGCGTCAATCAATCAATTGATTGCTTCTTCAAAATACAAGTTTAGGTCTTTCAAGATAGCCATAGCTTACTTAACCCTAAATATTCAACCTTCGGTTTAAGCCTGGGGCTGGTCATTTAAAACAAAAAAATATCTGCCGATGAAAAAATATTTGCTAGTTGTGGCGCGCAGAAAGATGTTTGTGTCGAAACCTGCATAAAATGAGCGAAGCCAGAGCCAATTTTTCAATTACAAACATTTAAAAAAATTAAAGCGAGTGGCGGGAGTAAGAAATCTCTGCTGTCAGTATACTTGTGTGATGACATTAAATATCGATTTTTTCAGAAAATTTTTTAGCAGCCTTCAAATGATATCAGTGGTCCAACAGTGATCCAATCAGTGTCTGATCCAAAAACCAAAAACAGTCTTACAGTTAATTTGCCGGGATTTGATAGCACATAATGGACAAAATGTAGTCATTTTTTTATATGGAATAACTGGTTGTAGCATAAATCTATAAAAAAACGAGCAAAGAATAAGAAAACTATACATAGGCAGTGTATTTTTGTGTTCCTACGGGCAGTGTAATAAGGAAACAAAAATATTTTAGGATTTTAGTGCAAGGATTTGAATAAATCGGTTTCAATAAAAAAACAAAAACGAAAAACAGAAAAGGTCCATATGCAAAAAATCCAAGAACAATTTGCTTAATTTTTTTTTCAGTTCTTGTCTATTCAAAACTTAAACTTTTTTAGAGCTTTTTTTGTAATTTTCATATCGTTGAATATTTAGTTATGTTTCTTTTTCTTCGTGATTTGCAATCATAGACTTCAGACCCAACCGAAGAAAAATGCAATTCATACTTAGGCTGAGATAATTCAAAATTTTTTGGTACGATTGACATTTTTAAGCAAAATTTGAATATTCTTGTTTTTTCTACAAGTTCAACCACCGACTAATTTTGATTAAAACCAAAACAACTGTATTTATAGGAACCCATCTTGAATTCAATTTATAGTACTTTTAAGCAGGCATCTAACCTAATTAGGAATATTAGATTGAATGTCTGTCTGATTATCCGTAGGCATCAAGAATAAAAATACTGAAGCAAAAATACTTACTTACTAACCTGAGTAAAATAAATTGAGAAGATAATTAGCACGCAATCCATTTCAATAAGAAGCTAAGTATATCTTTTTGTAGTTTACATTTGCAAATGGGGGGTATTTTGAAGGGAAAGCTCTAAATTTAATTTGTTTCCAGTTTAATCAGACAAACATTAAATCTGGTATGCTTAGTGTTGCTTTTGTTTACGAGTCCACCAAGTTGGCCACGCAGAGATAATTATTGCTGTTTCAGGCCCTTATCAGTGGCCACTTATCCATGGCCACGACAAAAAGATAGATGAAATACAGAATTAGCGCTGAAATATCTCTGAATCAGCGCTGAAAATCCCAGCTCTGAATTAGCCCTAAACCATCTCTGAAACAGCAATGAATTTCGGAGATAGCGCTTCATTATCTCAAAATCAAAGATCTTCGATTCAGTGCTGTAATTGAGACAAAATTTTAATCGCTGTTTTAGGCCCTGATCGGAGGCCACTTATCCTTGATCAGTACTTTTGCAGCACTGATTCATGGTATAGTGCTGAGACAGGGATGACTAGTCCTGCGAGATTTACTCAGGACGTCCCGATCAAATGAACATGAATCTAAGTAAATGTAAACAGTGTTAAACTTTAATCATTTCTTATCGTTTCTTGTTCTTTGAATAAAATAAATGAAACCGTTCAATCTTAGAAAAAAATGACAATCGAACTGCTGGTTAAATATGTTGTATGTAAGTAATTTTAAGAAAAACTGACAATTCAGAGCACGGCAAGCAAAAAATATGAAAACTATCAAAAGTTTTTTAATCATGTTGTTCTTAAATTTGCCCAATCGAGAGAAAAGAACTCACACAAAAGATAGCTATTATACGGTTTTCATCAAGTCTGGGAGTAATTTCCTTCAGCTAATATAGTGTCGACTTTTAAAATAATATATTTTTGACAGCTAGTCATCTTTTGCAAAAAAAATTTTTGTAAATTTTGATAAACTGATAAAAAAAATTAGTATATTTTTACTTGTATAAATAAGATAGTCGTTTGTTTTATTTGTCCTAAATCATATATTCTCCGCATTTTTTCGAGGGTGGTCAGAAAAAAATTCATAAAATAGGAAACGTTAAAAAATATGATAATAAAAAAAAGAAGATCAAATTAACATAATCAGTTCTGAAAAATGCAAAACAAATTGTCATTTTAAGAATTGCTTTCTAAAATATTATCAGAAATCGTTTGTTGTTTTAACTTTTGAAATGTCAAGCATAAACTCTAATGCTTATAAAAAAATTCAAAAATTGCTGGCTGTATTAATTTTTGTTTTGATTGCTTTGAAATTTTTGTTTCTGGTTTGGTAGATTCATCCCAAACTGTACTTATGGTAATCTAAGATATTAAAAACTGTTGTTGTAGACTGGTTTTACAGACTTTTAATTTTAAAAAATCACTTTCTTGCTCCCAGAGACGTGTAAAAGGCGACAATGTTTAACTGATGAAAGTCTTGCAAACTGGATGATTTGAAAGCCATATGTTAATGACCTGTTTAGGTTAAAATCCGTAATTGTAGGCCTTTACAGGAAGCAGTGTGATATTATTTTGTCAGCTTTTTGAACAAATACAGATTTACGATCTGTATTATTTTGTCAGCCTTTTTATTCATTTGATTTGTCTTTTGTTTTGAATTTAAGTAAGCAAATTGGGATCTCTCGATTTTGTCTTTATTTTTTTATAAGGTTTATGCAATTAAATGAATTTTTGTGAAAACCTAAGATATCTTTATAGACATTGACCTATTTTTATTCAGGTAATTTTTGGATTTCTTCAGTGTGAAACATATTTCGATAATTCTTTACTGCTCTTTGTGCTGAAATTGCTAATAAGAATGTTAGTCAAGGGCTATTCTTTGGCAAATTCTTCAACAAACTAAATCAGTTTGTCATGTAGCGGTCTATATGGATCAGCTTGCCCAGACTTAGTTTAAATATTTGCGGCCGTAGTTTAAACATTTGTGGCTGTATATGATTACTTATTTTGGTAAGCTCTACCAATTTGAAATTTAACAAATTGC